CCTCGGTGTTGCTCCCGCGCCTCGCTCAGCCAGTGAGCGGGAACCGGTCCGTATGTGGGATCCGAACCCTCGGGCGGGAGCGCCGCCGCGCTTCCCAAGCGGCGCACCATCCAGTGCGCCACTGGGCCGGCCCTCTGGCATCCTTCTTTGCAACCAGTTGTCTTTTCCATTTACCTGTGATTGTCTTTTTTTTTTTTTTTAAAACCTGATTGGCATATGTCCATTAGCACTACCATAGCTTCTGGAGTTGGATTTTCAGTGACTTCATTGAAATTTAAAATGTCTCTATGGTCTTTCATAGTTGGAAGGTGCTCTTCTGTTTTCATAAGTGTTGTTGTCTTTCTCCTGCAATAGTCAACAACAAGCCACGTTTGAGGTTATGTAACCAATGATGCCATCCTCTAAGCATCATGTGAGCTACTGTGCCATCTTGCATTCTGGGTTCTAAGTACCCTCCCAGTAATCTTAAAAGCTAGGTTACCATTTTTCCTGTATTTAGAGTAGGATGTGGGAACTGAAAAGTAATTTTCTTGTTCAGATGCTATTGTCAAAGCCCTGTCTGGGAACTTTACAGTTTTTACTTCCAGGCCTGCCTTCTGGCTGCTTACCTTTGTCTCTTTGTTGAAAAAGATGCCCAGCCTCACTAAGAAAAACACGTGGACAGGCATTTATAATTATTCAATGTGGAATACTGAAATACGATGGTCTTAGGTAATTAGACCATCATCTTCCTGTATTTGTATGTACACTGAAGATGAAATAACTACTTGGATGGTATTCTTTCCTGAGTAAAAATCCTTTTTAAAAGTTGGATTTAAAAAAGCACACCTCATGTCAGTATCCTGTTGCATCTGCCCGCTTGGCTGCTGCTAAGAAGAAAATAGCTTTACTATTATGTAAGTTCATTATTTTGTATACATTTTAATTTAAATCTGAGCACTCTGATCGTGCATCAGGGAAACTGAGTATCTGCCCTACTAGCCCTAAGACAGAATCTTGTTGGAAAAGCCCTTTTCTATGTGACTTTAAAGAAACACTGTCACAATGTATTATAGATAATATAGTGGTATTCTTCCTATTACTGCAAGCCCAAAGACTGGAGAAATAGTCATTTTTAAAAATATTCTTAGTGGCATATTTCGTAATGTGAATTTATTTTTGTCTTATGTGTAACAAGTAATTTTTTTCTTCATAATTTGATTCACAAATGTTTGCAACATGCCTACTGCTGCTTGTAAGATTCTACACAAAGTAGCTTTTAGCCCACAAAAACATCTTTGTCTATATTGAAAACATTGCCAGTGTCCAATGTGTTTCTGGAAGTTTCCATGGCACTAAGATGCCAGCCTGGGGCTATTTAATATTATATCTGATGTTCTTTGTTTTGTATTTATCAAAGCAGGTTCTATATAAAAGTACATTTTATGTGAAGTCCTCTTTCAGACTCTTCTAAAGGAAAACATGAATATTGACAGCTCATTGGCAGCTTAATTTTTTCAGTCAAACATGCTTTATATCTTTATTTCATCTTTTTGATATTTTACACTTACAGGTTGCTGGCTTGTTTCCACGTATCTCTTATGGTATAGTTCTTGAGCAATTTCCCGAAAAATGCGCCGAGCACTCTTCTGTAAACATAAATGAGAAAAAGAAATCTCTCTTCTAGGCCTCTGAGTGATGATTTCTACACATTATCAGAGCTTTTTCTTTCTTTACTGCCATCAGCTCAGAAATCCACTTCCCCCATCACATCTCCACCTACAGTTAAATTTTTTTGTGTTTTGAGTACATTATATAGAATTTATGGTTGAGAACTGTCAAATATAAATCACAGTTTACCACTTGAGATTATCACTGAGTTTCTCAACAATAGGAAACAGTAATATCTATGGTTGAAAGTTACCTTTATGTTCTCTGTGTTTGTTAAAATATTTCAGATTTGAAATAGTTACAATCAGCCACGATTTAAAAAATATTTTACAGGTGTTGGTCTGTACCTTTTGTGAATCTTCTTTTGTTTGTTTCTTTCTTAGAGTGTTAGATTTTGACTGCCAAGGAGAAAAAAAAAGTCTAAGAAAACATTTTATGCACTCACAAGAATTGTGGCAGATATCTCATAAGAATAAACTAATTTAATATTTAAATGCTGTACAATAAGAATTAATAATTTTTATTTCATTTATTTTATTGATAGTTTATTCTATCAATAAACTAATTTAGCAACGCAAACTGATTTTATTGTAGGATTTATAGTAATCCTAATATAATACATGCATACCTCTCATAATATATGCACAGCCAAAAGATATTCTTTCTCAATAATTTTGGGACTTCTTGAATATTTTAAGGCAGCTTCTAATCTCTTCATTAACCCCTTTTTGCCCTTGAAGACTATTCTTAGGGCTTTCGTAGGTAACAGTGATACACCACTCCCACCTCCCTACCCCAAACCCCTGCAGCAGAAAGATAGGAGAGAAGATGGTTCTCTTATTCCTATATTACTGGGCTTTAAAGAAAAAACACTGTAAGTCATATATGCTGGTTAATAATTTCAGTGATGAATTTATGCCTTCTACAGACCTATTCTGCAGGTAGTAGTCCCTGCACATGCAAAGGAAAATGAACTATTTCTGAGGCTCAGAACTTGTAGAGAGATGGAAATTATTTTTGTTCAACCTTTTTTTTTTAATTTGTTTGTTTTGGCAACTGGCAGGTATAAGAACCTAAACCCTGACCTAACTGGTATCAGCATCACAGTCTAACCAAGTGAGCTACCCGACCAGCCGGAAAATATTCTCCTTATGATAATATTCAAGGCTGTAGGGACATCCAATGCAAGAAAATGGGACTTACTTTGGAGAGGACTATGAAGACCACGCATACCCCAGTAATGTAGATAGAGAGCAGTGATAAGAGAGCAGTCAGGAGACCCTGCAGTTCCTTGCTGAGAAGCTTAGTTTCTTAATTACAAAAACAGAAAAAACATGGTCACTATTCAAGCATATTCTTGCAAATATATGTATAAAGTATAATTGGAATTACATGTTAGAGGTGGAACACAAACTTACGCTGCTTGCCTATTCATGTAAAATTTTGTTCAGGGTCTCTTGATTCAAAAGACATTCAAGTATATGATAACTAAAACCCGTTCATCAGTTCTTTAAATGTATTATACCGAAAGTGTTACTCATTTTTTAAAATAAAAAGTTTAAAAAATTTAATTAACCATTTTTCATAATGCTAAGAATCACTTATCTAAAGCATTTTTATCTATTGAAGCTAGATAAACATTTCAAGACAGTTTGTTCAAGGGCATTTAAAATTTCTTTTGTACGAGTGTGATTAAGAGTCTGCTTATGTAGTTAAGATATTTTTGCATTTATTTGTTAATGCTGACACTTATAAGCTTTCAGCTGTTTAGTGTACATAGCTGAATAGTGGTCTGCAAAATGACATGAGAAGTCCATGCATTGAGGATTATAATGCTCACTGCTTACTTAAAAGACAGGCATTGTTATTGTTATATGTGCTCTTCCTCATAACAAAGTTCTGGAAGTAGAATTATTGAATTCATTTTCACATTCTGACTTTCTTCCTCCTTGCAGGATGTGTCCTGTGCTCTAGGGAAGGATCAGATAACATGCCATGACTCCAAGTACCTGATTATTTGAAGTACAGAATACAATTAGAATTATGGGAAGTAGAATTATTGAATTCATTTTCACATTCTGACTTTCTTCCTCCTTGCAGGATGTGTCTTGTGCTCTAGGGAAGGATCAGATAACATGCCATGACTCCAAGTCCCTGATTATTTGAAGTACAGAATACAATTAGAATTATCTGAATAACCTGTACTTTCCAACGAAATATCCCATGAATGCCTATCTTGTGTACTCAATTTATACACCATACATTTTTATTTGTGAAACTAAGAAATTAGCCACATCTGTACAACTTTAAAAAAAATGTCTCAGTGCTAAATTAGCAGCTCTGTAGAAAAGGCAGGAAGTTGCCATGTCTATCTTAGCAAAACTTTTATTTCTGCTCATGAAGAAGAATTATAAAAGCCTGCAGTTTTGAGACCTTCATCTCTTTACAAGCCATTTTTCCTTTTGACTAGGATTTTTTATAGAAGACTAATGCAGTGAGACCTAAGTCTCCCAAGTTGTGTTGTTTATTTTATTATCAGTAGCT